AAAAAAAAAAAAAAAAAAAAACTTAGAAGTATTTCTCTTTTGACAATGTTTTGCTAAACAAATAACCCATCCTTGGAGATTCTTACTTCCTAGAGAACCAATCTGGAATATCAATAACCAAATAGTGGTTGATATTTTGAGGCTAAAAACATTATTCCTTAGAAGAATATAGGAAATCTGCTCTTCACATCAAGATTATCACTATTACCAATTATAGCAAGTTATATCCCCTCTTCTCTGCTTTCCATATCCCTAAAATGGAAAGTTGGGTTAGATGATCTCCAAAGACTTTCCCCGCAATTTCTGCTTTTACTTGCCATAAATGTCCAATGACTTTTATCATTACTTTTGCAAAGCTAAGTCATATATGTGTGTGAATGGAACTATTGCCCTTCACAAATTATATATCCCAGATCTATCTCTTCCTGAAGTTACTCCCTGGTGGTCAAACTCTATAGGAACAGTATCATCACTGTGGCCTGAAAATGCCTTTCGATTGCCTAATTTACAACCAATAACTTGGCAGCAGAGAATGAAGCACTCTCTTCCTGAGGATGCTAGTTTTATGCATTTTAAAAACTAAGACATGATATACATGAGAAATGGAGTAGTGTCATCCAGTGGATACTGACCTGAATTTCAGGGAACCTAGTTTTCATTCTGCTACTGACTGTTATTGACTTAAGTCAATAACTGCCGTTAAAATGAGAGATTCATTAGAGAACCCCTTTTTAGTTCTATAATTCTGCATATTTTTACACACAGTGACTTCCATCTTTATGTTGGCAACATCAAGAAAACAATGTCAGAAAGGTTAAATTTAATCAAAGACTCGGAAACTTTTAGACTCCAGCCTTCTGGGATTTTAAGCCCTCATGTTTCACTCATGCTTAACTCATTTATCTTCTAACATTTTCAAGACATTTTAGTTATTTTCTGCTTTACATAAGTCATATAATGACTAACATTTTATATGTTCACTGAGATAGACTTTTTCATTTTAGATTTGTGATTGATTTACATTCACTAGGCTCTTTTATTTTTCTTTAGGCTTTATAATAAGCTGTTTAGATTGCTTTTGCTTGGTATAATCCATAAATTTTATCTGAATCTGGTAAACAAGTTTAGACCAGCTGTGAACTGATTACCTTTCACCATTCTGATGCTCTCACAGCTGCCTGTGACAGCACAGCTGTAATTATGATTAGCAATGAGGTGAAGGTAGAGAATTGTTAGGGAAATTTCAGACATTATGAGGATGCCTGATGAAGCTATTTCCTGTAGGAGCATGAATATATGAAACGTCAGGAAATACAGTGATGAATGTGTGTGTGTGTGTGTATAAATTTTTAAAAACTTATTTAAAAATAACACCGTTAAAAGCCTACATCCTCACTACTAAGATGCCCACATTGAGAGAGGAAATATATTCCCATAGAGCAATACCTCTGCTTGGAGCAACTTCCAAGAAAGCTGGTTTTGGAAATCAGTTGTAAATTCAAGGAAATGACTACCAGTGTACATTGCTCTTACTGGCAGTGAAGGTATATAATATGGCCATTCCTGTCTATGTTATAATTCCAGGTTGTTAAATTTTAGCTGATAATTGTTGGGTTATTTTCTTAATTCCAACTGTCACTAAATTATGCAAGATTTCTGTCTTTTAGTATTTGTAACATCCTCATGTGAAAAAAAGTTGCAGAGGCAAAGTATACATTTATATAAACACAAAAGTTTTAGTGCCTCACTATGGGGAAAGCGTTATCTGCACGTTTATTATAACAAAATTAGGAGGCCATATTGTCTAGTAGTGGCACTAGCTCTGATGGCGGGCTGCCTGGGCTCAAATTTAGTTTCACTATTATTGGCTGTGTGACCTCCACAAATTCCTCTCTCCCCTATTCTCAGTTTTCCATTCTGTAAAATGTACATAACTAATGTAGTATCTACTTAATGGGATTGTTGGAAATAGATAAGTGCTTATAAAGCACTTAGATGACACTGTGTTACAATAGGCATGAGCCCATTGTTATAGTTCTTTATAGGTCAAAATGTTTTTCAAGCCAATGCCACTGGTATGCTCATTGGTGCATTATTTAATGTGGAAAAATTCTAGTAGGATAAAAGAAATTAGGCAGAGGCTCTAAAAAATTACACCTATAATATCGAATAAATACCTCTGTGACTTTAAAGGAAAATGCAAGGTTTTGTTACAGTGTTATTCTCTTTTTGGATGAACAAGTTTGATATTATGTTGCCTTATAAATTAGAAATAGATATCCTTCTTCTGGTTTCAGGGTGGAAGCAGGCAGAATTAAAAGTTGAGCTCTGAATACAAAAGAGGTGAAGGGAGGCAGAGAAGTAAAGCTCAGAATGAGGGCAGGTGGGGAAGGGTGATAAAGTATGAAATCAAATTATAAGAGAATCATAATTTGGATTAAAAAAATCAATAAGCAGAAAAACTGATTTTGAGTTTTTTCACAGTCTCTTAAAAACCAATCCCCATAGTATCACACTGTGGGAATTGCAAGTTTTGTGAGTATAGCCAAACCTAGTTAATGTCAATTCTATTTAAACCACCATGAGTCAACAAAACCATTTTATAATACATGAGATAAATATGTCTGGTTTATAGTGACTGACAGTTCTGTTTTCTAAATTAAATCTTTAAATACAAAGTTCATTAACTTGTATGGCCTTACCTTTGAAGGTGTCCCAAATAGCAAAGGAAAGTGATGGGCAAACGGGAGTAATGATTTCAATTTGTAGCATAAAACAAACTGTGGGAAAATGCCTCCTCTTGGTTGATTTCATTTTCAGGTTGTGGAAGATCAGGTTACTTATGAGAAGCTACTATTTAAAGTTAAAAAAAAAATCCCACTGTGAATAAATAGGTGTTGATGTTATCCCTTAATAGTATTAAATGCAATGTTGTGCCATAAAAATTCTCAAATATATGCAGATTTCTAAGCAAGCAGAAGTGCCCCAGAGAGAGTAAAGAGCAAGGGTAACCTTGTTCTGAAGCATTTGCCTTCCCAAATGTTGACCCTTTTAGAAGCTTGATGTTCCTGAATTTTTAAGTTGCAAGCTTATGCTGCCAGCGTAATAGTTTAAAGCAAATACATGTAAGTTACAATACATGAACATGAAAGCATGTGTCCTTGAAGTATGCAATGCAGATATGTATAAAAGTCATGCTTATTTGTATTTGGGAAAATGGATAGCTGATAATCTTATAAATACATTGGTTTATTGCATGTACTTTAACAAAATGAATGGCAGCCTAGGATTTTTTTGTTATTTATTTTTATAAGATAATAATTGAAAAATAGCTTTCCTCGGGGAACTTGTTTACTAAATGAGACTGCTAATGAAATCATACCACCATTTTTCAACTTGGTCACCATATTTGGCAACTGGATTATTTGGATTGCAAATCTTAGATGTGCTGCCACAATTCATCTGCTATATGGTATGATTTGGGGGGAATGATTATTTCAAGTATGAATCATATGTGCATATTTTGCAAGCTAACAGGTTGACCATAATTTGTCATTAGTTTAGTTGACTAAAATTTGTCATGTGTCAACAAGTATTTATTGAACAACTATGTTCATAGAATCGTACTGAGTTGTGGATTATGGAAGAAAGAGTAGGGAAAAGAAAAAGAAACATAAAATTTGGTTTTTGCTGCTAAACGGCTTCCCACCCAAAAACAAATATATAAATATATGTAATACCAGGTGTGTTAGGAAGAATTCTAAGATGGCCCCCATGAGCTACTCTCCCTGGCATAATTACGTTACATGGCAAAAGAGATTTTGCAAACGTAGTTAAGGTTTCTAATAAGCTGACTCTAAAGGGTATTATCCAGGTGGGCCTGACCTAATTATCGGAGTCCCTTAAAAGCAGAGTTCTCTGTGCATAGTAGCAGAAAAGGAAGTCAGAGATTCAAAGCACATGGGAGTTGAAGACACTGCTGCTTGCTTGAAGCTGGGGGGATCTACATGGGAAAGACCTGAGAGCAGTCTCTAGTTGTTGAGAGTGACCCCTGGTTGAAAATAGGGGTCAGAAAATAGGGACCTTACTCCACCAACCACAAGGAATTGGATTGTGGCAACCACCTGAACGAGCCTGGAAGAGGACCCAGAGCTGCATATGAAAATGCAGCCCCAACTGACACCTTGATTTTTGCCATGTGAAGTCTTCAGCAGAGAATTTTGCCTAAAGGAAGGCCATTGTGGCTGCAGAGTGGTAGACAAGGAGAGGAAAATGGATTATGCAAGGACCTGTGAACCATGATAAACCAAAGAAGGGGTTTTGCATGTTTGTTTTTTAAGCCAAGGGAGTGAAAATCATATTTACATGGTGAAATGGTAATTCACTTTGCTAGGTGGGGTATGGAGAGGGTTGAGTGAGGGATAGAGAATCAAAAAAGATAAATTACTTTGGAAACTATTGTAACAGAGTAGGTAGGGGGTGAGTGCGGTTTGGACCAGAGTGATAATACTAGAGACCTATAGAAATTTTGTGAGAATAAATTTCTGTTGATTGAAGTGGCTTAGTAAAATATGCCTCAGAAAAAAAATATATACAGTGATACGTGAGATACTACATTCTCTTAAGAATTTGAGGAACAGAATTCTTTGAAAAGGCTGTATTTGAAGTCGACCTGCAAGGAAATGAATTTGATTTTAACAAGTGGAGATACAGGAAATTAACACAAGGCCAGTAGTTCTCAAATTTGGCAGCATATTGGATTCCCTGGGGTGCTTTAGATATACTGATGGCAGCATTTCTGATTTAATTGGTCTGGGTGCTGCTTTACTATTAGTGTTTTTAAAAATCTCCCCAGGTGTTTGCAATAGACTGAGTAAAGGTCACCCTCACTCGTTTGGATGGGTACCATCCAATCTGTTGAGAGCGTGAATAGAACAAAAAGTGGAGGAAGGACAAATTTGTGCTCTCTGAGCTAAGACCTCCGTTTTCTCCTGCCCTAGGACACCAGTATTCCTGATTCTTGGGCTATCGGACTCAGATTGTGACTTACATCATTGCTCCCCCAACCCCCGCAATTCTCAGCACTTTGGAGTTGGACAGAATTACACCAACAGCTTTCCTCGTTCTCCAGCTTCACAGACTGTGGATCATGGGACTTAGCCTCTGTAACCATGTGAGCCAATTCCTATAAAAATCTCCATGTACATATATCTGTATATATCCTATTGGTTCTGTTCCTCAGGAGAACCCTGACTAATACAGGCACTGCTGCTAGATTATAACTACATGAAACAAGAATTTTTCTCTTCTTGGAGGGGTCAGAGCCAGCAGAGAGAGCAGATGAGGAGGTTAGTGCATGGGAAAATATAGAGGGATTTGACCATGGCTCTCTTACTGCAGAATTCACAGCTCTATTAGCGTTCTATCACTGCCATAGTACCACAAACTTAAGGGTTTTAAACAAACAAAAAATTATTATCTCACACTTCTGTAGGCCTGAAGTCCAGGCACAGTGTGGATGAGGTGGTTCTTTTGCTTAAAGACTCACAAGGCTGTAGCAAAGGAGCCAGGCCATGCTATATTCATTTCTGGAGGCTCTAGGGGAGAGTGCATTAGGCTCATTCAGGTTGATGGCTGAATTCAATTTCACGCAGCTGGGAGACTAAGGTTCTCATTTCTTTGCTAGCTGTTGGCTGGCAGTTGTTCTCTGCTGCTTGAGACCTCGACATTCTCTAGCTCTTTGTCCCCTTTGGTGTCAGCAACAGTGGATTAAGGGTCTCTCGTGATTAAAATATCTTTGACTCTTCTATCTCATCTGCTTTGAGGCATATCTTTTGCCTGTATCCTGTTTTTCTTCCTTTGCTTTTAAGGACCCCTGTGATTCCATTGGGCTTACCTGGATAATCTGGGATACTCTCTCTACTTAGGGTCTATTGATTGGCAACATTAATTTAATCTGTAAGGTCCCTTCACAGCTGTCATTAGAGTAGTGTTTAATTGAATAACCAGAAGATAGGAATCTTGTGGGAACACCTGAAAAATCTGTCAACTCAGCCTAAAACAGAACAGAGCTCAACAAGGAAAGAAAATCTATGTTAAATGAATGGCAGATTTAAGTACTAAAAAATGAAATTATTCATTACCTCAGAATAACCGAAGAACCTCTAACATTTGCTAGCTGTTTCATCTAGGTGTGAGAAGAGTAAATCAACAAAATTAAACAAGGTGGGCATTTTCTAAATTTCTGTCCTTTTGATTTCTTCCCGTCTTCCTTAGAGAAGGTATCTACCCTCGTGGCTTCAGCAGTGATCTCTCTATGGATTATATCTGTAGCAGCTACCCTGTTTTTGGTGTGGTGGGGTATCCAAATAGACTACACCTTAAAGTTCAAATGTTTGGGTCCTTATGATTTAGATAGCATCTGGAAGATTTATTTATTTATTTATTTTTGTAACTTTCTGTTTCTTGAATCCTGCCAGTCTAAACCAGGTTTCCTTAAGGTAAAAAAAAATAAAAATAAAAAAGCACTAGACTTGGGTTACATATACACTTTGTTATGAATTGCAGTATGGTTTGGAAAAGTCATTGGAAATCTCTACATAATGACAGTGATAATACTTTATTTGCATACTTTATGGGAATGTTTTAAAGTCCACTGAGATTAATGTATATGGAAGTACTTTGAAAAATGGAAAGGACTTTTCAAATGAAAGAAAGCAGTGATTATTTTTTTTTTACCTCCACCAACCAAAAATGACTAGTTGAAAAATGTTTTAATTTTTTATCTTCAGAGAAGTCCAAATAAATTGAATCATTGTTTTATATGAATAATTTTTTTTTTTTTTTTTTTTTGCAGTTGAGCAAGAACTATCATCACAAATACAAATGATACTGTTAAATTTGCTTTGGGTAATTTTTGTTTTTAAGAACCTGTTTCCAAATAATGCATCTTCTGAATGGCATATAGATTGAAAATTTGAGCAAAAAATCACTTTCATTTGGTAATATGCATTTAGGACTCCACTTCTTTTTATGGCTTGATAGCTCATTTCCTTTTAGTGCTGAATAATAATCCATTGTCTGGATATACTACAGTTTATTTTCCATTCACCTAATTAAGGACATTTTGGTTGTTTCCAAGTTTTGGCAGTTATGAATAAAGCTGTTATAAACATTCATGTGCAGGTTTTTGTGTAGACATAAATTTACAGACCATTTGGGTAAATTCCAGGGAGTGTGATTGCTGGAACATATGGTAAGAGTATGTTTAGTTGTATAATAAACTGCCAAATTGTCTTTCCTCTAAAGTGACTGTACCATTGTGCCTTCCCACCAGCAATGAATGAGAGTTCTTGTTGCTTAACATCCTTGCCAGCATTTGATATTGTCAGTGTTTTGGGTTTTGGCCATTCTAATAGTTGTGTAGTTGTAACTCATTGTTTTAATTTGCAACTCCCGGATAATATCTCATGTTATTGTTTATTTTTTCATATACTTATTTGCCATTTGTATGTCTTCACTCCAAGGTGTCTGCTGGGGTCTTTTGCCCATTTTTTAATCAGGTTGTTTGTTTTCTTATTGCTGAGTTTTAAGAGTTCTTTTGCGTATTTTGGATAACAGTGTTTTTTCAGATATGTTTTCTGCAAATAATTTCTCCCAGCCTGGGGCTTGTGTTCTCATTCTCTTGATAGTGTCATTCACAGAAGTTTTAAATTTTTTTAAATGACTCCAGGAATCAAACTGAGGGTTTCAGAGGGGAGAGGGGTGGGGGGGGATGGGTGAGCCCGGGGATGGGTATTAAGGAGGGCACATATTCCATGGAGCACTGGGTGTTACATGCAAACAATGAATCATGGACCACTACATCAAAAACTAATGATGTAATGTATGGTGACTAACATAACATCATAAAAAAATTATTAAAAAATAAAATAAAATTTAAATTTTTAAAGTTTTAAAGTTTTATAGTTTTGCATTTTACATTTAGATCTATGATCCACTCTGAGATAATTTTTGTTAAATGTATAAGGTCTGTGTCTAGACTCATTTTTTTATATGGATGTTCAGTTCTGCCTGCATTGTTTGTTGAAAAGATTATCATTGCTCCATTGTATTGACTTTGCTCCTTAGTCAAAAATTAGTTGACCATATTTATGTAGGTCTATTTCTAGGCTTTCTATTCTGTTACATTGATCTATTTGTCTGTTCCTTCACAAGTACCATGTTCTCTTGACTACTGTAGCTTTATAGAAAGTCATGAAGTCTAGTAGTGTCATTTCTCCAACTTTGTTTTCCTTCAATATTGTGTTAGCAATTCTGGGTTTTTTTTTTTTTTACTCTTCATATAAACTTTAAAATCAATTTGTTGATATTCACAAAATAGTTTGCTTGGATTTTATATACTTTTACTTACAACACTTCTGTCTCCATATGTATGGTATCTTTTCCAACACCACTTCTCTAAATCTCTGATAACAGCTGGATGTCCTACAACTCAATTCAATTCAGACATTATCAACCTGGAGTTAGTGGTAGATCCCACAAATAAAGGGCTTAATTTCACAGACCTCCCCTCACTTCAGGTGCCAGTCCCAAGTTATTATCAGTACTTCTGACTAATCAGCTATAAATTCAGCTTTAAATACAAAGACCGTTTTATTTCATCCTTCCTAATCAGTATACCTTTAATTTTCTATTGTCTTATTTCATTAGTTAGAACTTCCAGTATGATGTTGAAAATGAGAGAAGGGACATTCTTGTTTTTTGTTCCTCATCTTAGTGGGAAAGGTTCTAGTTTCTCACAATTACATATGATGTTAGTAGTGTTAGTAGTGGGTTTTTTGGTAGTTTTCTTTTTATCATGTTGAGGGAATTCTCTTCTATTCTTAGTTTGCTGAGAGTTTTTAATCATAGATGAGTGTTAGATTTTGTCAAATGCTTTTTCTTTACGTATTCATATGATCATATGATTTTTTTTCTTCTTTAGCCTGTTGATATGATTAATTACATTGACTTTTAAACATTAAACCAGCCTTGCACACCTGGGATAATTTCATTTGGTTGTAGTGTGTAATTCTAATACATTGTATACAATTAAATCAAATTTTGTTGAATTTTTGCATCTGTGTTCATGAGAGATATTTGTAGTTTTCTTTTTAAGATTTTATTTATTTACTTATTTATTTATTTGCAAGGGAGAGAGAGTGCATGAGAGTACAAGTAGGGGGGAGGGGCAGAGGGAGAGGGAGAAGCAGACTCCACTCTGAGCAGGGAGCTCCATTCCAGGGGCTCCATCCCAGGACCCCGAGACCAGGACCTGAGCCGAAGGCAGACACTTAACTGACTGGGCCATCCAGGCACCCCAGGTGTGTAGTTTTCTTCCCTTGGAATGGCTTTATCTGGTTTTGGTATTAGAGTGACACTGGCCTCATAGAATGATTATGACATATTCCCTTTGTTTCTATCTTCTGAAAGAGATTGCCGAGAATTGGTATAATTTCTCCTTTAAATGTTTGGTAGAATTCACCAGTGAGCTCTTCTAGACCTGGTGTTTTTTACCTTGGAGATGTTATTAATTCTTAGTTCAATTTTTAAATACATATAGACCCATTCAGATTGTCTATTTTTGTGAGTTTGGGCAGATTGTGTCTTTCAAGGAATTGGTTCATTTCATCTAGATTTTCAAATATGTAAGCATAGAGTTGTTAATAATATTCACTTGTTATACATTTAATGTCCATGGAGTCTGTAGTGATGTCCTGAATTCATTTGTGATATATTATTTTCTTTTTCTCTGCAGAATTTTTAATATTTCTTGCAAGGCAGGTCTGGCAACAAATTCCCTCAATTTTTGTTTGTCTGAGAAAGTTTATTTCTCCTTCACTTTTGAAGGATAATTTCACACGGTACAGAATTCTAGGTTGATGGATATTTTTTTTTCTCTCAACACTTTATTTCATTCCACTCCTCTTGCATGCATGGTTTTGAGGAGAAGTCAGATGTTCTTTGTCTTTGCTCTTCTATAAGTAAATTATATTAAGTATTATTATTTTTTACCTCTGGCTTCTTTCCAGATTTTTTCTTTATCTTTTATTTTCTATGGTTTGAATGTGATATGCCTGGGTGCAGTTACTTTTGATGTTCTCTGAGCCTCTTGTATCTGTGATTTGGTCTCTGACATTACTTTGGGAAATTCCTGGTCATTATTGCTAGAAATATTTCTTCTATTTTTTTCTCTCCTTCTAGTATTCCCATTATGCATAGGTTATATCTCTTGGAGTTGTCCCTCAGTTCTGTGGCATGTTTCTCAGCCTTTTTTTTTTTTTTTTTTTTTTCCTGTTCTGGGAAGTTTCTATTGACATTCCTCAAGCTCAGGGATTCTTTTCTCAGCCATGGCCAGTCTACTAATAAGTCCATCGAAGGCATTCTTCATTTCTGTTAGTGTTTTTAATCTCTATCCTTTCTTTTTTTTCTTACAATCTCCATTTCTCTGCTTATATTGCCATCTGATCTTTCATGCTACTTTATCCATTAGAGCCCTTAGCTTGTTTATCATAGTTGTTTTTTTTTTTAATTCCCATTCTGCTAATTCCATCATCCTTTTCATATCTGAGTGTGGTTCTGGTGCTTGTTCTGTCTCTTCAAACTATATTTTTTGCCTTTCAGTATGCCTTTTAAATTTTTCACTATAGCCAGATATGCTGTATTAGGTAAAAGGAATGGAAATAAATAGACTTATTACTGTGGTGGTAAATTCTCTATCTAGTCCAGTCACACCCCAGATAAAGTCAAAGGTTATAGAAATATCCACATACATCCAGTCACTAGGATGCTTTTGTTGATGCCTTTAAGATCCTTAGATAATGACTTATTTTTCCACTTTCAGTGTACATTATACCATTATGTGAACATATTTTTCCTTCTGAATCTTTTTTTTTTAATTTGCCATGCTGCTTTAAATAAATTTCATCATTTTACATAGGTTTGCTTTAATTTTATGTAAGAAACAAATAGTAGGCTGACATATGTACATATGTCTTTTCTTCCCTTGGGAGATATTTTCCTTTTTAGTAATTGATAGGTAATAACTAATGTTATATATAACAATGTAAAGGAAAATGTCTTCAAATTAAAGAATATTTCTATTCTGTGTTTTTTTTTAGTTGTGTGATTTGTGTACTTTATTGTATCCTATAACTGACTAGCCAAAAGCTGAACATACCCAAATAACTAGCATACAGAAGAAATAGAATATTGCCAGCACTGCAGAATTCCCTTTCATGACCTCTTCCATTCACTAGCCCTTCCCAAGGGTAACCATTATTTTGAGTTTCAACATCATGGATAAGTTTTCCTGTTCTTGAACTTCATATAAATGGAATCATACACTGTGTACTATTTTACATCTACCTTTTTTTGTTTAATATAGTGTTTGTGAAAACTGGAGACCTATTTTAGCAAACAGAATCAATGATCTATGTAAACTCTGCATACCACTTCCCCATGTCTGTTTTGAAGTGCTATAGCTAGGGATTTGAAGCATAAACACAGCCTATTGAAAGAATAAACCCTGGAGAGAGCACATTTTTTCATCATCCATTCTGACATTTTTGAATTAAAAGGAACTTTCTGGATGAGAAATTCCAATTGAAAGTCATTATAGATCATGAGTAGTGGAGACTTTGGTTATCTCCTAATTATTGGACTACTCATAATAAAACCCAATAAGTTCACTAGAAATGTTAGCCTAATATGAAAAAAAAAAAGTAGAAGCCTACAGTCTTAAGTTAAACCTTTTCAAGTGTCTATAACTGCAAGGAAGGGTAGGTATATAGAAAACCCCATTAATTTTTGCCCTTGGTTTTTGGTTACTCAGAAACCTACATATGGATTACAGAACTTAATAGGTCAGAAATTTAAGATGGGGATTTTTTTTTTTTAAGTAGGCTCCACGCCCAACATGGGCCTTGCACTCCTGACCCTGAGATCAAGAGTCACCTGCTCTACTGACTAAGCCAGCCAGGTGCCTCTAAGATAGGAATTTTTTAGCACTAAATTTGGTCAAAATAGAATTGTAAGAAATCTGAATATTTACAACAAAGCAATTTTAGAAGACAGTTTTATTTAACAATGTACTAATGTAACACATTATCAGATATTTCTCAATTTTTGTCTATAATGATATTTTAAATCAGTATTCTGAATTTACAAACAGAAAAAAATCTCTTTGGATTTCTACATGTTAATTCAGTACAAAAAAATTTAAGAAATGGTTAATATAGTTAATATAACAAATTGTATAAATCTATAACTTCTCTAAAAGATTTTAAATTATATAAAAATAATTATAGCAATGTGTTGTTGGGTTTATAATAAACATAGATCATCATACATAAAATAATATAAAAAGGAAGAAAAGGACTGGAGTTATACAGGAGTTACATTTCTATATATCACTGGAATTAAGTTAGTAATAATATGAATTAGATTTTATAAAATGCGTATTTTAAGCCCTAGAACAAAAAGTAAGAAAATAAGTTTAAAAAATAAGGAAATATCATTAAAAGAATTAAAATGTTACTCTAGATCATATTCACTTAATGCAGTCTCTAGTCAATTACCTGTTCACCAAGTCAATGGCTACCCTTACCCTTTGACATATTCATGAAATTGTTACACTTTGATTTCTGCTATTATGGTCCTGCTTGTCCTCCAGTTATTCCTGGTATTATAACAGTTTGCTCCAAAAGGCTTTCAAGCACAAGTCAGTTCCTTCATTTATTAGATGAGGTGGGGGTACACAGTGTATATTACATTCTATGTCCGTAACCTAACTACTAACTGAAATCTTATGAATGAATTGAAGTAATTCCTAGTGAAATCATGACCGTGAACTTCTGACAATGATTCAGGAGTTGTATATTACTTCAGATAAGAAACCAGAGATATAGTCTACCTACTTTATGCTCTTGACAGATGGTGGCTCAGCTTCTCTTGAGATCAGAAGTGATGAGGTTATAGAACACACTATTTCCCAAAGGAGAGTTAGTCCCCCCCCCTTTTTTTAAGATTTTATTTATTTGTTTGACAGTGATAGTACAAGCAGGGGGAGCAGCAGAGGGAGAGGGAAAAGCAGGCTCCCCACTCAGCGGGAAGCCCAGTGCAGATGTGGGGCTTGATTCCAGGACCCTGGGATCATGACTTGAGCTGAAGGCAGATGCTTAACCAACTGAGCCACCCAGGGGCCCCAAAATAGTCCCTTTGAAAGAAGGCCTAGAGATCTATCTTACTCATTCCTATTCTAATATCCTCTCTACCACTTTCATGTGTTGGCAATTGCATGTACTACATCAGTGTTGAAAACAGGAATGGCACATGAAAATATACATATATTTACTTAGGAGATCCTGGTTGTAGTGGGCAATTTTTGGCTCCCCAGCACCTGAATATCCTTTCTATGTTTGAGGAAATCCTCATCTTATGAATCTTAATGGGAGACAAGCTCAGTCAACTAGATGCATCTTCCTTGAATTTAGAATCTAGAACTAGGGACATAATGCAACAAAGAATGGAGAATAGATGTTAATGGTAACATTAGGAGCAACCTGTTTCTAGGGGCATTAGCAAGAGTGACGCCAGCATCAGTGCAAGCTTTGATGGTCAATGGCAGTGACAGCAGTATCCTCAGTACACAAGTTCCGTGGTGGATTTTGCCTGTGATTACAGCCACATCGTTGTTTATTTTTTAAGCCTGTCACTGTAACATCTTGTTTTATGACTCTGTGAACTAATTATTTTCTTAAACTTCTTTTTGGCTTAAATCATTCAGTTGGTTTCTGTTGCTTTCAACTCAGAACTCTGATTCATGCCATGGTCATAAAATGCCAGGGCTCAAAGGGAAACTTGAGAGAATCTCAAACAGACTCTGCGCTGAGTGCAGCGCCTAATGTGGGGCTCGATCCCACAACCCTGAGATCATCGTCTGAACCAAAATCAAGGGTCTGATGCTTAACCAACTGAGCCACCCCTATTTGCAGGATTTTCTGATCCTAATTCCTTCTCTTGGAATTTTTCTTGTAGAAATATTTCTCATTTTGTGTCTCTCATGGATAATTGGTAGGAAAATTATATTTAGACTTTGTCATTGCAACATTTGGTGTTTTGTTAAAGTGAATACTAGGTATCCTTATTACACATTGCAATCAAACTCTTAGGGCTTTCTGGACATTTATCTAAGGATACTTATTTAAGAGAATTTTTGTGGTTTTTAAAATCCAAAGCAAAATGTTTATACAGACTCAAATAACAATTTTAGATGTTAACATTTATTATATTCCTTTAATCTATGAGGCCTTGCACTAAAGATTTTAGATACAAATACTATTATTATTTCCTTTTTACAGGTATGGTAATCTGGACTCAGAAACATTAAGAGACTTGTTTAAGACCACAGAGCTAGTAAGAAGCACAGTTGATATGGAAACCCAGGTGAGTTAAACCACAAACCTTGTGCTTTCAATCAATATGCTGTACTGATAAGAAAAAAATGGGTTTTTAAAAATTCCTTACTTAGATGTGAGAAATGAAAAGATAAAAATATATAAGATTTAATTATTATGAAGTTTTCTTTATATGTATGATTATCTTGTTGTTGTGTCAGTCCCAGCCTATTGATAGTGATGCTTTTGGCTGGGAATCCTTGAACTACTGGCCTGTATTACTCACAGGGAGCCACCACAGATACTTCTCCCACCGGGGTTAATGTTGTGGCTGGGCTGGCGCTTGTGGTTCTTACCAGAATTGCAGGACATACTTCAGTAAAAATCATCAGGGAACTTTGAAGAACAATATTTATTATTTGTTTTGGAGGATACATGGCATACCTGAGGGCCACACAGTGAGGTTGTAGAGAAAGAGAGAAAGAGCAGGCCTAGGGCTCTGGATTTATTAGGGCTTGAGGGTGGGATCTCCAGGGATTTGGGGGTTCATGCTTTATTGGCTAATTTAAAGTATAAGAGTGGGATTTAGGATGGGGGAATGGAGAAGCAGGATCCTTCCAGCAGTCAAATATCTAAATTATTCAGGGTTTTCTGAAAGAGGGAACTTCATAGGTGGGGGTGGCCCTAATTCTTTATCTGGTGGTTTTGCTAGTAGCTGTTTCATGCAGCTGGCCATGTGTTTATTCAAGATGGATGACTTTTGGAACGGATGCCTGGGCAATCAAAATCTTAGTGTCAGACACACTACTCTTATTAATCCTAGGAGCTGGTATTATTGCCAATTTGCAGATGAGGAGTCTGGGCCACAGGTAAGGAAAGAATTAGAGAAATAGTAAGTGGTCGAAGCCAGATTTGTTTTCAGTTACAGGGCTCTAGGACAGGCTCTTATCCCTTAGGCTATGCTGACTTTCAATGATGCTATGACCAAGTACAACGTTCCTGGGTCTATTTGCAAACTCCAGGGTGTTTAGATGGAGTTGTGGCAGCAGTGCCAATGGCTTCCTAGTTCCTGTATCAGAGTTGTAATAGTGTGTCCTTGAATTCAGTAATTCTAGAGGCTACCTTCTGATTTTAGCAGAAGTAGAAACATCCTTGGGTCATCAGTTTTAACATATTCTGGAACTTATTTCTGTGGATACAGCCAGAGCGTGTCTTTGCAGGTTTTCCAACAATTTTGTAAGCAAATGCCTACAATGGATTACTTAAACATTTTGTGCTGTGGTTGATCTTGTCTGGGTTAAAAACAGATGCTATTTTATAAATTATTTATAGAATATATAAAATATATTTTATATATTCTATAAATAATTTAAAATAAATATATATTATTTATAGAATTTATAAAAATTCTAAAGAACTTTATATAGGTTTCTAAACCATTGACCTGCCATTCAAAGTAAGTATTGATTCCATAAAGATTTTGCAAGAATGTAATTCTCAGGTTTGGCAAGACTAATTGCACATGGAAATGTTAAAGTCTTAGATATGTAAAGACATTTTATTGTCTGAGAGACTTTTTTGCAAGGGCCAATACCCTTTCAGAACACAGGAACTTGTTAGAATGACTTAGAGAAAAATTGCATGAATTTTGAAATCAGATAGGTCTAGATTCAAAACTTGGCTTCTAAATTTATGAGTTAGGCGGTATTCAACTTTCCAAAACACAATTATCTCATCCATGACCTGTAAAAAAAATTATACTCCCTATCTCATAAGATTGTCATGAGAATTAAATGATATGGGGCGCCTGGGTGGCTCAGTCGTTAAGCATTGTCTTTGGCTCAGGTCATGATCCCAGGGTCCTGGGATCAAGCCCCGCATCAGGCTCCCTGCTCAGTGGGGAGGCCTGCTTCTCCCTCTCCTACTCCCCCTGCTTACGTTCCCTCTCTAGCCGTCTCTCTCTCTGTCAAATAAATAAATACAATCTTAAAAAAAGAATTAAATGAGAAAATACCTGTAATATTTGTGACACAATATTTGGCATGGGCTAAATATATAATTAATGTTAGTTACTTTCCTTTTGTCATGCTCCATTTTCCAAATGCTGGTTTTACCTTATGAAATGTTTTCAAGAGCAATTGAGTTTTTACATTTTATTTGATGCCCTTCTGTATATAATGTTATACTAATTTGGCTAGGTAACATTTCTAATCTAGATACCAATAGCAGGAAGAGGTTAGGTCACTTTGTGTGAGAATTGGTGACAAGTTGAGGTGAGGAAAAGGAAATACTTGTGGGGTTAGAAAAACTGTGAGGGCATACAACTCAAAGACTCTCAACCAGTATACATAGGAAGAAAACCATACCAAGGTTAAATGCATATTACTAAATGAAAGAAGTCTTGCTCTTCCACCAACCCCTGGCAAGGATGAATGGGCAGAACATGGAGGATTTTTAGTCCAGTGAAAATACTGTGTATGGTACTATAAGGATGAATACGTATCACTATACATTCATCCAAACTCAGAATGTACAACATCAAGAGTGAACCATAATGTAAACCAAGGACTTTGGGTGATTGTAGTATGTCAGTGTAGGCTCATCCATTATAACACAAGTATCACTCTGGTGGGGTTGTTGGTAATGGGAGAGGCTGTGCATTGTAGGGGCTGTGAACTTAAAATGGCTCTAAAAAATAATGTCTCTTAAAACACCACCCCCGGGGTGACTGGGTGATAGACACTGGGGAGGGTATGTGCTCTGGTAAGCGCTGTGAATTGTGCAAGACTGTTGAA